ATCGCACGGGTGAAAGACTAGTTTTTCACAATCCAAGTGTTTTCCATTGTCCAAATTTTTGTTGTATTTTCACGTGTCAACAGTAGAGTGTTTAATGGATGCAAGCGGGCCACACCTAAAATAAAAAGTGAAGAAAAGGTAGGTTGGATTTTTAAGCTACAGGCAGGCAAACTTGGGAGGGTAAACTCGGAATTCACGAAAATTGGACAATAGAATGATTACACTTCAATTTAATATATTCTTTGATTTGACGGAATGAATACATTTTTGGTTGAAAATGGCTACCAAACGCAGTCTGACAAAGATTTATTGGCACGTTCCATGTGGCTTAAAATTGTGGTGTTGGTGGATCATGAAAGGACAATAACCAATTACTTGATTGGTGTTGGTGGGCCATGAAAGGACAATAATCAAAGTGTGCATGTCCACGTGATTATTGGTCAAATGTGTAACAAGATTGGGATGAGAGAAAGTGTTAAAAGCATGGAGGATAAAATGGTCATTCAAAGTCAATTTGTGTTGATGTTTGGTTTGAATTTCTTGTCCGTGGGCCCGTCTGATGAGACGTGAAAATCAATTTTTTCTTCCCAAAATGACGTCCAGACATGCCCTTAATTTAGATNATTGGTGTTGGTGGGCCATGAAAGGACAATAATCAAAGTGTGCATGTCCACGTGATTATTGGTCAAATGTGTAACAAGATTGAGGGCAGAGAAAGTTTTAAAAGCATGGAGGATAAAATGGTCATTCAAAGTCAATTTGTGTTGATGTTTGGTTTGAATTTCTTGTCCGTGGGCCCGTCTGATGAGACGTGAAAATCAATTTTTTCTTCCCAAAATGACGTCCAGACATGCCCTTAATTTAGATCAACCCTCTCTGAATTTTCAACCATAGCTAAAAAAATGAATCAACTTTCGATTCTTTTAATTTTCAGGTCCGATAATGTTACTTTGATTTTCGTTAATGTGATGTCTCTGCAATTGATTTTAAAAGTTATTTTGGAAACTATGAGTAAAAATTGAGTTATAAAACACGTAATTTTCTGATAAAAGTTAAATTGATTGAAGTTTTCAAGTAGAAACCATGCCAATCGAACTCTTTACAGTTCAGAACTAATGAAGGAAAATAAAGAAAATAGTCACTACTATGAAATGGATCAAGACTATAAGGTTTATAAATAAATTCTAACTAATTTTGAATTAGCTACGAATTTGTCTCCAAAAAGAACTTCTTTAAGGATGATCCACGTTTTACTCCATCGTTTTCTCCTTAGCTGACATTCTAATCTTGCCATTTTCAGAGAGCTCTCTTCGCTCTCTCTATCTATATATCTCTGTGTGTATATATTTCTCTCTTTCAGACACATATACACACTATGTCCATCGACGCCACCA